CCTCCCCCACCTCCCTCACCTCCTAACAAAAAAAAACAAGAAGTCAGCCGAAAAACCCCTCTTTTCGGAGACCATTGTTGGTTAATTTTCAAAAGCTCATTCTCCTGCTGATAAGAAGCCACATCGCATACCGCTTTTCATTGTTGTCTCAATTTTGTTTAATCTTTGATAAAATCCTTGCTACTCGGGGACGTTCAGTGATAAACACCTAGCCATGAACCCGGAAACATGGCGACCCTTAGGGCCTTTTAGTACTTTTTCGCATAGAACCAATCGTCAGAAAAAAGGCAAAAGAGAACAACAACAAGCAGCGTAATGCAAAGGGATTCTTACCAGAAAGAGAAGGTGCCTGTGAAAATTATCCAACAATAAAGTTCAAAGAGTGTGATTTCACAGAGAACTGATTTTTTTTTCGAATACGTGGAATTTTTTAACGGGGATAGAAGGAGGAGCGGGACCTGAAATTAATTAATTTAATGATTTATCGCGTAGCGTGAATAAAACTTTATTTGAACAGCTTGAAAATCATATATAAATTGACGTGACTTTTAAAGAACAGTAAAGTGAATAAGTGAAACCGCGTCGAAGGCGCACCAGCTAGTTGTTTGAAGCGCCGGAGGTGCGGCAAACAGGCTGGTACTTAAAAAACAAAAAGACACTGATAACGAGTCCGTTTTGATAAACTTTTGAAGAAGTATTTTATAACGAAAAGTTTCAAAGTCTTTAAAATTGGCAGAAAAATTATGAGGCGATAAACTGAAGAACAACAAGGGATTTTTTCGTTTTTCAGATGCCGACGATATGCAGTTCCTGACAAGGATCGATGTGCATGTGCTCCTGGATGGTACGATAAATATTGTGGATTGCGTGGATGTAGACCTCCAAATGAAGATCAAATGGATTTGGAGAAGAGATCTTTGATCGTTGTTTTCAATACAAAGACTACGATGAAATCTCAATTAGACACCTTGAAACATAATTTCAATGAGATGGTTTCGAAAATTATGAGGGTGTGAACAAGAAGATTTCAGACGTTTTTGAACATCTTCATATTTTTCAGAATTCATTTGGGACAAGAACCCCTTGGATCGACAACTACATCGTTTATGGATTTGTCAAATCTGGATCCAACCTGCATATTCAATCTGAATTTGTCTATGATTCTGATGACGTTATCAATTATCTGAACAACTTGGAACTATTCGACGGAGATGCCACTCAACCATTGCTAACAGCTGTTAAGGATTCACAATAAAAGTTTCCGAAAATGAAATCTCATGCGATTGTTTTGGTTTTCACAGACAGTCCAGCTTCAGATGCAACCCCTTGGTCACATAGATTTACTGATAAGAATGCAGAACAAGATGTTCTTCAGATCTCGCTTTTATGGAGATCCAAAGT